ATTTGTGCTAAATTTGGTCCAGTGAATAAAAATACATCCTGCATATCAGATATTGACATTATGATTAATAAGAGTAGCAAAATTACAGTTATGAAGTAGCAACAAAAATAATGTTATGGTTGGGGGGGGTCACCACAACATGAGGAACTGTCTTAAGGGATTGCGGCATTAGGAGGGTTGAGATCTACTGCTCTAAGAGATAATTAAAGAGAGGAAATAGTCATGGTTCCATGTGGCACATGCAAACCTGAAAAAGAATTTGCTTTTCAGTTTTTAGAATCGAACCTATACACATATGGGGCTCCTTAGCAGAAATGAATAGTGCTGCCTTTCCAGCTTTCTAAATACGTTTTGTTTTCAGTCTGAAAAATGCTAACAATGTTGATAGTTGGGACAGTTACAACACACGCCTGGGGGTAATGCAATTTTTCGCTTACTTTGGTGTTGGATAATTTATAGCAACATTACCACAGCATAGTTTACCTCACACAGAAATTTTTATTTGATTTTTATGTTTATTAAGGCCACGGATGCTATGAGTTCACACGGAGGTCTGGGCATGCCAGATTATAACAAAGCAGCAATAGAAGAAAGTTCACCGTTGCACAGGGAGGATGGCAGAGCTCACAATGTAAGTAACACTGCGGGGTACTGAAGGGGGAAAATATATATCTTAACGGACTTTGCCATTAAGTAACCAAAAGGCAGGAAACCGTATGGGTCCTTTGATTCTTATTCAGTTTCATTCCTCCGAATTGCTCACATCTTAAAACAGGCAACTTTACTGTTTCAAAGCTACTAAAAAGAGTGAATGAAAGCCAAAAAATACCTATTTTGGAAAGGTATACTAACCTGGAAAAAAGGAGAAAGCCTTTTTGAAAGAGAATGGTGCAAAGTTCTATTGAAAGGACCAGTTTGCTTGAGTGGTTTTGAAACCAAACCATTTATACAGGGGATTTGCCCTTTAAAAACGAATTTGACTGGTGTCAAATCAAATTCACACTGCCTGAAACTTTTTATTTTTCTCTCTGGTACTACATTCATTGGAAAAATGCCAGATGAGCCACATCGCTTTTCAGTCTCCGCTAGCAAGATGCCACTTTGTCAGTATGTGAACGTCAAGAATAAATTATAGAGCAGGTCAGCTTGGCAAGACCTTTGCAAGCAAAAGCCAATGGGTTGATCCCAGTAAAGGGCCACTTCCTTCTCCCCTTATGAATTGCAAAACTCCATGCACAACAGGGTTGCCTTAGGAAAGGTAAAGGTTTCCCCTGACATTAAGTCTACTCACGTCCGACTCTGGGGCGTGGTACTCTCAACCAAAGAGTCAGTGTTGTCCATAGACTCCTCCAAAGTCATGTGGCCAGCATGACTGCATTGAGTGCCGTTACCCAGTGATCTACTCACATTTGCATGTTTTCAAACTGCTAAGCTGAAAGAAGCTGGGCCTAACAGCTCACCCTGCTGCCAGGATTTGAACAGTCAACCTTTCAGTCAACAAGTTCAGCAGCTCAGATGTTTAACACGCTGCAACACCAGAGGGCCCAAGGATTGTCTTAGGCCAATGTTTCTCAACTTGGGGGTCGGGACCCCTGGGGAGGTCACGAACGGGGTGCAGAGGGGTCGCCAAAGACCATCAGAAAACATAGTATTTTTTATTGTTTCTGTTGGTCATGAGGGTTTTGTGTGCAAAGTTTGGCCCAATTCTATCATTGATGGAGTTCAGAATGCTCTTTGTAGATGAACTATAAATCCCAGGAAATACAACTCCCAAATGTCAAGGTCTATTTTTCCCCAAACTCCATCGGTGTCCACATTTGGGCATATTGAATATCCGTGCCAAGTTTGGTCCAAATCCATTATTGTTCCAAAGTGCTCTCTGGATGTAGGTGAACGACAGCTCCAAAACTCAAGGTCCACAAAACCTTTCCAGTATTTTCTGTTGGTCATAGGAGTTCTGTGTGCCAAGTTTGGTTCAATTCCATCATTGGTGGAGTTCAGAATGCTCTCTGATTATGGGTTAACTATAAATCCCAGCAACTACAACTCCCAAATGACAAAATCAATTCCCCGCAAACCTACCAATATTCAAATTTGGGCATATTGGGTCTTTGTGCCAAATTTGATTCAGTGAATGAAAATACATCCTGCATATCAGATATTTACATTGTAATTCACAATAGTAGCAAAATTTCAGTTATGAAGTAGCAACGAAAATAATGTTATGGTTGGAGGTCACCACAACACGAAGAACTGTATTAAGGGGTTGCGGCATTAGGAAGGTTGAGAACCACTGCCTTAGGCTTAGGTATAAACTCCCAAATGGCCCAAGGGATTCAATGGATGCAAAACAGTAATTGATATGTGTGCCTTCAAGTGGCCTGTTGATCTATGAAATTAAGAGCAACCCCATTAATCTCATAGGGTTTCCTTAGGTGAGGAATACTCAAGAAACGGTTTGCGAGTTCCTTCCTCTGAAATATAGCCTAGGTTCCTGTGAATTAGAGGAAGAATGACTCACAGGAACAATTTTGCTTCCCAGCCTTATAAGGATGGCAAGTTACATAATCCTTTATTTCCTAGTCTTAACTGGGTCGTAAGGTGTCCTTAACTTGTATTATGTTCTATGAGTAATCTTTTGGCTTAATGGTTGTTAACAATACCCCGAGGGGTCCCCCGCCCTTCCATTTCACATCCTTCTCTCTGCTCATTTCAGCCTGCAATCTCAGATTGTAGCAGTGTCTGCATGGGCAGGGTGAAACTGCATTTCTCGCAATAGCTCAAAAGCAAAATATTTTCTGTTTATAAATGCAGCTTTGACTTTCCTCCCACAGTCTCCTGTCGGTACAAACAGCCCTCCACATTGGAGGTTTGATGAAGATGTTCTCTCTAGAATCCTTAGGTCCCCCAATGAAACTCTATGGTCAATACTTCCATGAATCTGTAGGTCCTCCAGTACAATCCAGAGTAAGCTGACCATAGTAATCTGCTGGAGGATGCAGATTCCTAATGATGTGTTCTCTCAGGTTAAAAAAAGCGATTTTATTTGTGATTTTTCACTTTTTGCTGGGGTCCCCAAACCTAGCAAATGTAGAGAGCTTATTGTAACATCAAACAGAAAGAGATAATTTATTATTTTATTTATTTATTTATGACATTTCTATGCCGCCTCTCTCAGTCCAAAAGCAACTCGAGGCGGCTTACAAATTGGCAACAATTTGATGCCACGCTGTTCATAAAACATAATTAAAAACATTTAACACACATTATAAAAACCATGTAAAAATCATTAAAAACATATAATCACCAATGACTTCCTGATAATTCCAGCTCCATTCTTATATGCAAAGAGAATGCTACGACCACACAACTGTGATGACCAAGTCTGCACTTTCAGCCATTCTGAGTATTATCCTAACAAAACATTAAGTAAGGAGAAGGAACTTTTCTGCTTACATGTAAGGGATTCCGTCAATCTGCCTGGCAGGTCTTTCTTTCCGCAGCCATTGCTAAGGAGCGATGGCTCCAGAAAGAAAGACCTGCTAGGCAGATTGAATTTCTCTCTTGCTTTCCTGGATCTCACCCATGATGATGAAGCATCCAATATGACATGTACAATTTTGCATACTGATAATCTGAAAAGGATTTATTGTTATAAATGGATGTCAATTTTCTATATCTGATGTCCAGAAAAAAACTAAAATATTTAATCAGGTGGAAACAACAGGGCTATCATCAGTAATGGTTATACTGCCTGCTGTGGATCAGTTTTCTTTTAAAAACTTCAAAGGCAGCCCCACATAGAGTGTGTTGCAGTAATCCAAGCTAGAATGTTTCTTTTAAAACATTCTAGCTTGGAGCCTTAAGGTCAATCTGGAAAGCAATTCAATCTTCTATAAAATGCATCCAGTACCATACAATGCTAGGTTCAGACCTGTGGCAAATTCTGACTAAGGCCACAGTGGTCCACTCCTTAGTTACATCCAAACTGGATTACGCACTCTATGTGGGGCTGCCTTTGAAGACGGCCAAGAAACTGCAGCTGATGCAAAGGTCTGCCGCCAGGTTGCTAACTGGAGGTAATTATAGGCAGTGGACGACACGCCTATTAAAACAGCTACACGGATTGCTAATAAATTTCCAGTCCCAATTCAAAGTGCAGGTCATAATCTCCAAAGCCCTAAACGGTTCGGGTTCTGCCTATCTCTGCGTCCGCATTTTCCCCTATGAGCCTGCATGAGCTTTAAGATCTACTGGGGAGGCCCTTCCCTCTTTCGCACCTGTCACAAGCATGGTTGGTGAGGACGAGAGAGAGGGCCTTCTCAGTGGTGGCCCCCAGCTCTGGAACTTCCTCTCTAGGGATATTAGGCTAGCATCCACTCTGTCTACTTTCTGCAGGGACCTCAAAACATCAATGTTCAAATGCACATTTGAGAATGATTAGGCCCCTGCCTATGACTGCCCAATCCTAATTGACCATCAGATTGAATCTCAGTATTTTACCCCAGCCATGGCCATATAATCTGTTTTTTTCACAAGCCCATGCCCATCCCTCTCTAATTTTGATCTGCCCACCATAGTCCTGGTTCTGGCTACTGAGATTGGCTTTGATTTATTTTAATTATGTTTTTATATTTTACTGCTTTAATTGTGTAATTAGATTGTCATATGTTTATTGCGTTTTTTTCTTGTCTAAATTTGTTGTTATTGGGCTTGGTCTGACTTGTAAGCCGGGGGGATGGTGGCAGGATATAAAAATAAAGTTGTTGTTGTTGTTGTTGTTGTTGTTGTTGTTGTTGTTGTTGTTATTATTATTATTATTATTATTATTATGTGTCACAGTTGCAATCAGAAGGCAAGCCCCCAGAACACACCTTTCCCAGGATCCCTCACATCGGAAGATGGCATGGAGAAGGATTTTAGATCTAATTCAACAGCTGAAGAGGCTCAAGGTAGAACAACATCAGTGTTTAATAATGTATTGAAAACAGAACCGCATGTTTTTGTTAAACAAGTTTTATTTCCTTAAGTCAGCGCAAACATGTAGACAAGATTCTGGATGGATAATTCACACGATCAAAATCCAAATTGTTAAAGAGTGAAGGTTGCTTGTATAAAACACCCAAATAGTCTTTTGCTGTAGAAAAGAGTTCTTAGTGTGAATTGGACAAGCAAACACACTGGGAACCTCTTACAAAGAGCAAATCTTTCTAAGGCATTCTCATTCCAGTACTATGCAATATCCCCTTTTCCTTTCACCAATTAACTCAAGATTAAAACAGTTTCATTCAGTGTCCTGCCAGTTTCTCCAAGTAAGAATATACCAGGGGGGGGGAAAGCAGTCAAATATTCTACAAGTTAAGCTTATTGCAACAAATATGATCTATACACAACGCTGTGACATATGCAAGGAGACTTCTGCTCATCTAATAGGGCCTGCTCTTGGGTCCTTCCTGAACTGATCGATGTACTGTGGAGGATTCCCCTGACTTTCCAGAAAAGATTTGGCCAGGGCACGTAGAGAGGGAAGAATGGAGCCCCCATTCTGTTGATGAACAGCCAGCACTGGAAGTAACTCCATGCAAAGATAACAGAAAGGTAGTCTGGAAAACCACAGCAGTAACATGTCAGAGGCACCTTTTAACTGGAAACCTTTCACCTGATTCTTCTGCAACATGGGACATTCACAACTGAAAATCAAGTCAACACACAAGCAGTAAGGCATGTTTAACAGTCTCGCCATCTTAAAATTTGGGGTGATCAGGAGAAATATTGTGATTTCCAACATGCTACATACCAACTCTCTGGGAATTCAAACCATGAATCTTTTTTTAAAAAAGCAGAATCAGGCAGAGCTCTAGTTTGGATGAGTAATGCCACCAGACAACATTTAAACTGGGGAGAAAATAGGGTTTTTGAAATTCAATTTGATTTCTGAACTTAGACTGTATCTTATTTTAAGATCCATGAGACAAATCCATGAGACAAATCACACTATAACCCTTATTACAATTTTCTATTTACTCAATTATATGAAAAGCAGAGCATTTCATGTTTACTTTTAATATAAAAATAGGTATATGCCTGCAATACATTCTCTACTCCATTCAGATTCAGGGCATAACACTCAATGATGCCAATGGAGCCTGGGACCTTGCTACTGAAATATGTAGCTGCTTCTTTTGGCAGCATTAACTATGATCACGCTTTAGCAATAAATATTTTAATCTAGAAAGAGAAATAGATGATCTCCATTAACACCAAAACACTAGACACTTTCAACATCGGAATTTGTACATATTTACAACCTGCTTAAATGCCTTGTTAAGATTACAGCAACTAGCAATAAAGCCAAAAGCAGCCTCATTAAAAATCATTGATTCTTTTTGAAGAGAATGAGTAAATATGTAGTTGTGTATAAAATCCCAAACAAGCAGATATATACAGACATTATTTATATTTATATATATATTATATAAAGACCAAAATACAATGAAAACAATCACTTCAACTCAACACCACAGTCAGATATTGGGCATCACATAATGTAGTATCAAAGAATGTGAATCAATAAAAATTTCAATTGCCTTATGTATTGACAAATATGAAGGAGCTAAACTGCTCAGATTTCATTTCACTTATAAAATGTTTGAGCTGAGAGAGAAAAACTGATTTTGCTCCAGATAGGGATTCTAAAGAGCACCTTCTTAAATTAACTCTGTTTTGAAAGGAGATACATACACACACACACACACACACACACATGTCCCATGTTGCCATTTTAGATCTCTAACAAATAATTTAAAAATCCCCATGAAGAATAAGTACAAAGGAACGATCGCCAACAAGTGATTATTTTTTTCTGAGGACACCTCCCTTCCCATTGCCAAACACACATTGGTCCACCGTGAAACTATACATCACTACTATGATGCTTCTGAACAACCTAGTTAGCACCAGTAATAAGAACAGAAAGTCACTTGATGACAGGCAGGTTTGATCTGGAATGTCAACTTCACTACAAAGAAATATACATTTCTATAATAGACAACAAAACTGCAGAAGAACCTTGAGACTAATGTACAAATGCCTTCCTATTCACATGCCTTTAACCACCCGCTTTGCTCTTCTAAATCACTGTTCATCCCCTCCACCAAATACCCTCAATGGCAGCATGTAAGTTAGACCTATAAAGTTCTCCTGTTAAGATAATTTTGTTAAATAGCTAGCTACATACATGGACAATGAAGGACTTCCAAAGGAATGGGGAGCGGGGGCGGGGGTGGGGCTCTCTTTCCTTCTAAAAAATCAGGCCAGGTTACTTTTTCTGACCCTTTAAGCCAGTGGTTCTCAACCTGTGGGTCCCCAGATGTTTTGGCCTTCAACTCCCAGAAATCCTAACGGCTGTGAATCTGGCTGGGATTTCTGGGAGCTGTAGGCCAAAACACCTGGGGACCCACAGGTTGAGAACCACTGCTTTAGGATTATAATGACAATAGTATATTGTCATGGCATGTTTACAATTAAGGCAAAAATACCCCCACCTCTGTAAATAAAATTATGGCATAAGCATGTCTTTCCAATGCTAAAGGCTTCTCTTTCATATTTGTTAAGTATTAAGCGATGTCAGTGGAAAAAAACACAGAGGCAACACAATGGATATCATTTCACCAGAACAATTTAGGCTTGGAAATCAAGTTGCATTCAATATCACACTATTTAGACTCTCCTCAGACAAGGAATAAGAACTACTCCACCACAATAAATGGCACTAGTTTCAGAGAAGTACAAATGAGAAATTCAGTCTGGGAGAAATTATGAAGGCCATTAACAACTTCTGTCATTCAAAGTTTTTTTTTCCTCCCAAGTTCACTATTGCTAATTTACTGAACCATCATAAAATGCAATCTGTTAAGATGCGCTAGGAGGGAAGCAAACTGAAAAGCAAATTAGCTAAATAAATTGGTGTTTGAGATAGCACTTCAAATTTATACGGTTTCATAAAAATAGTGGCCTTATAAAGCCTGGAAAGAAGAAACAGGAGGAGATGCATAAATGAACTTGCTTTCAAAGCTTTATCGTATGAAACTTATTACAAGGAAATGTTCCGTAAATAGGCAGGATATTAGACAGAGCGCTACAAGAACCAGGGTCTGAAGGCTGTCTGTTCTGAACACATCAGCAGCTCATCTTATTTTAACAGCTATGCAGAAAAAGATCTGAATTTGTATTAACTTTAACATTGATATTTGTGTAGTTGCCTTTTTGCCCTTGAGTAGAAGCAACTTTTCATATCAATGGAGGGAATATTTAAATTACAACAGTCAGCAACATCCAAGACTGCTTTCAGGAGGGAGGGCTCCGTCTTTAGAGAAGAGGCTGCTGGTGGTAATTTGTTTGCTGCTGAGGAAGCGAGTGAGCAGGAACTGTTGGGTAGCATACTCCTTGGGGCAAACTGGTTACAGTGTTCTGGTAGGCCAGCATATCCATTGGCATGGTCATGTGTTGGGAGTAAGGAATGGGACCAGCTGGTGGGAGGCAGGAATTCTGGTTCGCGTAAGCAGGATTGGAAACAGAATCTAGACCGGTGCTGAAACACAAACCAAGGCATTAGCCAGCTTTCAAAATAAACACCAATCCTGGAAACATTATATAATTTGAAGCTTAAAGAATGAAACTGCAGAAAGAGTTTGGCACTCTCTTGACAATGGAATACCTTAAATATGCTGTCTGAGCTGTTCCTGAAGAATTTACATTTGGAGGCAAGGACCTCAGTGGACCAATCTGATCATTTCCGGGATTATACCCTTGAGGGACTCCATGGACCCCGTAGTTCCCACTGTGAGGATGCAAGGGATACGGCTGCTGCAGAGACAGAACAAAAGGCCAATCAGCACTGCATGGCTAGTAAGTAAGAGGGACAACTACCCAGACAAACACTGATCCAGAAGTCTGACACATCACAGAAAAAACAAGGCACCTTTTAGGTGTATGAAGATTTCCTTAGGGAAAGAAAGCTAAGAAAAGATGATATGACACAGTAGCACCTCTGTCACAGTTAAGAGACCCAAGAGCCTCCAGGATAAGTAGAGAGCTTGGTAGTGAGCATGGCTTTCCCCATCAGGAGGCAGAAGGCAAAAGTAATAAAAAAGCATTCAGGTCACACATGAAATTACTTTCAATTAAGAGTCAAATGGCAATCATTCTCAAAATATCTATTTTGTACCTTGCCTCAAGTCTTGAGGGGAGCTGGGTAACACGATTATGATCACTATCATTATTACTGTAGCCAAAAGTAGACCCTCGAGTCTATTTGTTTGAAGAAAGCTGGTATGCTTATTAATTTCTGCCGTGCCTATTTCCCAATGTGGAGTCCAAGCATATACATTAATGCCTTTCCTCCCAAAAAACAGATTGGCCTATATAATGCAAATGAGATGGTTGGGAGGTCACCAAAGTTTTAAAAACTTTTTAGGAAGCAGGTAATAAATTTAGCTAGACACTACAAGATATTATTTCCAACTGCTATGAAGGAGATAACTGACTATATGTTAGAGGTGATTTGATGGTGTGTTCCTGCAAGGCAGGGGTTGGACTGGATGGCCCTTGCAGTCTTTTCCAACTCTATGATTCTGTATAACATTTTGGGATAGGATCATTCTTTCTACTAAATCAAGAAATGGAGCCATCTCAACAGACATATTTCAATATTTATGTACATGAGAGTTATTTTAAAAACTGGTTATTCTTGAAAACTGGGCTTACAAATTAAAGGCCATTGTACAATATATCCTTGTGCTTTTTCTAAGGCATTTATCCCCACTGACTTTTTATTCTCAACAAAGAACAGCATTATCTTGAAGTGAGGAGATTATTAGCACCTGAGATGTCAAATACTCATAATTTCTTTCACACCCCCAAACACAATCAATCTTTCATCATTTGTGAGAGCTCAAGTAAAAGCATAATGGTTAAATGCATAATCTTTCATGTGGCAGTTTCCATGGTAACTATTCTTTTCACACTCATTATGTAAAATCTGCCTAATATATGCAGTTACATTTCCCCCTTTTCATTTAATTACTGCTTGCAAGTGTCCCCCCCCCCCTTTGTTTTTGCTTAAATAAACTTAACATTACCGTTTTGATTTGGACCAATATCAAAAGCATAATTTTGGAATAATTTCATTCAGTTCACAAAGAGCATGTTGCCCAAAGGAATGGAAGAAATAAAAAAATAAGCATTTATTGAATAGCACTGTTTGTGTCCTTGAGAGTATTTTTAAATTGTTGTATATTCATTTCCAGAAGCTCACTGAATATCCATACAACAGTCCAAAACTGAAGATATTGAATTGCTCAAGTAGCAGTTCTTTAACCCTTGATCCCCAGCCCTGTTAACCTTAAGCATGTTCTCACAACCTCTGAGGATGCTTGCCATAGATGCAGGTGAAACATCAGGAGAGAATGCTTCTAGAACATGGCCATATAGCCCAAAAAACCTACAACAACCCACTTAAGTATGTTTAGGATCCGGCAAATTTTCAGACCCTAAAAAGATTTTAAAATTCCACTCACAAAGACAGATTTTTGTTGCAGCTCTCTTGACACACATTTCCCCACAAAGACATTTTCACAAGCAACCGGGAAATGTCTGTACTAACTCAAGGGAGCTTCCCTTAAATTGTGTATGTCTTTTGAAGTGAATTATGCAAGAAAGTGAAAATATAGCATTGTTTATGCTTTTATATATATATATTAAGCATTATTATTATTATTATTTATTTATTTATTTATTTATTTATTTATTTATTTGTAGTCCACCCTGAGGGGACTCAAGGCAGCTTCCAACATAATAAAGGCCAACATTCAATGCCTGTATAAAACAGAAGTAAAAATATCAACAGCAAACAATAAAATACATTACACAAGTTAAAACAAGTAATTTAAATAATAAAAATTAAATAATCAACACTTAAACCATTAAAAGCCAGGTAAGATAGCATATCAAATCTGTTTCCTATTCCGTTCCGTTTCTCAATGTTACAAGCTCTATTCCTCCTTTTCGTCATATACTTGAGAGCATAGAAATGTTTTAAGTTGCTTTTTAAAAGCAAGTAAGGAGGGGCCCATTTTGATCTCCTTGGGGAGGGCGTTCCAAAGATTGGGGGGGGGGGAAGACCACCGAGAAGGCCCCCTCTCTTGTTCCCACAAGCTGTGTTTGAGATGGGGGTGGGGTGGGGGTGGGATCGAAAGTAGGGCCTTCTAAGCTGATTGAAGAATCTTGGGCAGATTTGTACAAGGAGATGCGGTTTTCTAGATAGCCTGGGCCCAAACCAAACCGTAATATATGGCAAATACATATTAAAACTATGTGGCAAACCTTTATTACCTATATGGCAAACATTTAAAGCTGAATTTGATGGATATGAATTCGTGACAAGTTAATGAGGCTTACTTGAAGCATATGTTAGGTCACAAAGCAGGATTTAGATACTTAAATCCTAACAAAAATGTGTTTGTCTTCACACTTCTATATCCGTTTTGAAATAGGTAAATCTTGCTAGAAAACTTCAAAAAGTTTTAAAAAAAGAAAAAAGGCCCCTACCTGTACTGGAACACCAGTTGATGAAGGTGGGTAATGAGCTGACGAATGGATCTTTGAGTATGTAGCATACATAGGAGCTTCATTCACTAGTTTGTTGTAGAGTTCCAGAGCTTCCATCACTTTAACATTCAGTTCAGACAACTCAGAATGTTTCCTAATGCAGAAGAGAGCACCAAGTGCTTTCAATGATTACATATTTGCCCAATAAAGTCACATTGTCAGAGTTAGATAGTGTCTTTAGGAAAAGATTGCTAGTTTTCCTAATCTTGAAATGCAGGGGATGGTTTTGCTCTTCCTGAAAATCTAGACATATATGACAATTACTCTAGTCTGGATTCTAGTCTCAATGTTTCTCTCTCTCTTTTGTTTGCACACAATCAAGTATAACTGGGCTTCCTTCTTGATTGCTTAATAAACAGACCTGACAAAATGGAAGATATCTGGGAAAACTCATCTAAGCACTACAATGGTGCCTAAATATACATTCATTTTACTGCACTTGCAAGTACTAGAAGATTGCCTTACCTATCAATTTCTTCTAGCTTTTCATCTATCATGGGACCCATCTGTTGACAGACACCTAGCAATACAAAAAAGCCGATTATTTATCCAAGCAAATATAGGCGTTTGCAAGCAATGTGCAATGTTTCTGAGATGCAACTATAATTTTCAAATGATGTTGGGCAAGGGAAACCCTCCCCAACGTTCTTATTCAAGCTTCACTTTAATTTAGTGGGGGAAAAGGAATATGAACATGACAGTACAGGACTGTCCTGCAACAGGGGTTTATATTTAGTAGAACTTAAATGAAAATACCTTCCAAGTCCAGAAGATCAGGAGAATCGGGTTTAGGGTCTGTTGGATCTATGCTCTGGAGTAACTGCAATGTTCTATCCATCTTATTCTTAAAGAGAGAAAAGAAGTACCAAAGTTCTTCGGGTGTACAAGATACTGTTTCTCACTTTTGACATAGTTGCTTATTTACAAAACGTTATCTGTTTGACTGGAATTATGTACCTCATCTATGTAAACTGGTTCAGGCTCCGCTTTTGCAGTTTCCTCTGCACTTTCTTCAGAAGACACATTCTTCTCCACAGTTGCTGTTAAGGGAATGCGTTAACATTAGGCTCTTAGAATCACAGAACCATGGAGTTGGAAGAGACCACAAGGCCCATGCAGTCCAACCCCATCCAGCCATGCATGAAAAGGCCATCTAGCCTCTGCTTCAAAACCCCAGCGAATGCGAATCCTCCTTGCTCTGAGGCAGAGTATTCCACTGCCGAACAGCTCTTTAAACCCAAAATATTTTTCTATTAATCTGTCTTGCTAACACAGCTCATAAAACATGGTACCCTAGGTGAAGCAACTCTTCAAATGTGGGTACATGGAATACAAGTTTTAAATTCTGCAATTGTGATTTAAGATGGCATTTTTAAAAAATGTAATGTGTGCTGTAAGTTCAGAACCCAGATGGTAAATTAAATCATTTTATCTTAAGATATCTGAATGTTTTGGTGCGATTATTTTTGTCAATGCGAAGATTTTTGATCCGGCTGGAACACTGCACTTAAGAACCAATTTTCTGAGCAAATACAATTTCCTCCCATTTCCATATGCAGCTTTAGAGCAAATGAAACAGCCTTGTCTTGAAATAATATATGATCAGCCGACATATGGGAAGCTATTGCTGAGAAAGCACAAGATCTTCCATCACATTGCATAGAGGAGAAGAGTTGGCAATTAGAGAACAATTAGGCATTGTGAGTCAGAGGATTTAAATCCCATTCCTATGGGTATTGAGTGATTTTGGATAAGTCATTCCATTTCATAGTGATTCCTTGCACAAAAGTGGGCAATAGTTTATGCTTGACTTTTAAAGTGCTTTCAAAACCAAGTTTGTATTCAACTTACCTGACTCAGGCTCCTCATTTAAGTTATGGGTCACAAAATTAGATGGGAATAATCCTATTCCTCTGTGATTTTCTCCTTTCCACCAATTGGCATCACTAAGTAATAAAGATACATAATTCAACACACCACAATCTGAATTGCAGGAATAATAATAATAATAATAATAATAATAATAATAATAATCTTTATTTATATCCCACCCCCTCTCCAAACAGGACTCAGGCGGCTTACAGAAAATAAAAGAGTACAAAAACACTGAAATAAAACATGATACATAAACAACAATCTCAGAAACAGAAAATAAAACACAATACGAAAACCAAAGCAAAAATAAAAACCTAATACATAAACAGCAATATCAAAACCTGACAGACTAATCGTAACAAAAACACAATAGAAAGTAACGTGAATTAAAAGTTTTTGCTGAATTGTACACCAGATGCAAAACCAATTCAAGCCAGTTGGCACTGGTACAATTATAAAACCACCATCACAGTAAAGTTATAAATCAACCACTTTCGAATGCCTGCTTCCACGTGCATGTTTTTAATTCTTTCCTAAAGGAAGCTAGGGAGGGAGCCTGTCTAATTTCTTTAGGGAGGGCATGCCAGAGCCTGCTGCTGCTTCAAATTGCAAAGCCACAGCTTTTAATTTACCAATCAATTGTCCTTATTATTCATCTTCCTCCATTTCTAGCTTTACAAACCTCTGAGGATGCTTGCTACAGACGAACACAGTAGCACAATGGGCTAAACCCTTGTGCCAACAGGACTGCTGACCGAAAGGTTGGCAGTTCAAATCTAGGGAGTGGGGTGAGCTCCCGTCTGTTATCTCAAGCTTCTCATGTGGGGAAATGAGAGAAGTCTCCCACAGGTTGGTAAAACATCCAGGCATCCCCTGGGCAACGTCCTTGCAGATGGCCAATTCTCTCACTCCAGAAGCAACTTGCACTTTCTCAAGTCTCTCCTGACATGGAAAAAAATGGCCATACAGCCCGAAAAACTCACAGCAACCAATTTCTAGCTTTGTTAAAGGAAACTCAGACAGAAACCTCTACTGCTTGGTTTGCAAAAGAAAGCTGTTGCAGTATAGAATTCATGCTGTATTAAGATCAAGAACACCTGAATACTAATTCCCACTAAACTAAGAATTTCACAGGGTACTCCCTCAGCTTACCGGGCTCTGAGGTTAAAAACAAGGAGGGCAAAACATACAACTGCCCAAGATCTTCCACAAATCACACAAGAGAGGAAGGACCTTCCTAAGTTGAAATTTGAGAATTTGTTTCTTATGTATATACAACTCAGTCTCTCTTTTTTCCTCAAACCTTCAGACACCAGAGTTATCTGAAGTTTTCTGACTATGAAATGGACTCAGCATAACTATTTAAAATACAACCTTTAGGATTTATTTTGACTCATGAGTCAGCCTTTGACAGTTTTTTTACATTTTCAGCTACCTTAGAAGAAACCTACCAATTATCCATTTGTTATAACATTTGAAATTGGCATGTTACTTTAAGTACAACATACCTGTCATCCAAAACAACAATAATATCGCCAGTCTTGAAAGTGAGTTCATTGTCCTCGACAGCTTCAAAGTCGTACAAGGCCCGCACCTTTCTAGAGATTTTTTGATTGTTCTGCTGAACTTCTACAGGTGGGTATAAAGATTTTGTTTCTGTTTGCTGCTGTTTTTGTTCTTGCAAAGATAATTCAATAGCTATGATTTGGAAAACAAAAAAAATCTTTTTTTTACCAAATCCAATTAAATATGAAATTGTAATTTTTAGATCCTGAAACATGTCTGGTAAAGCCTCTGAACATGGAGTCTTTTTTTCACTGTCTTCTGGAGTCAAATCAACCCAAAAGGGATTACATATAATTATGTGTTTAAAAAACCCAAATTCTTCTACGGTAAGACCTATTAACTTCTCCCAGCATTGGGGTATAAAGAAGAACAGAACAGCAAAAATGGATTTATAAACCCCTAGCAAGAAGGTTAGAAACTCCTTCAGAGCTCATTAAGGCACGAAGGGATGATGGGGCACTCAATCTGCCATTCTCTTCAGCATCCCATCCATCCCTGACTCTTCCACAGGTGCCCCATGGTCCCCCAGTGGCCCCACTCCACAGAGAACTCACACTATAAAGATCTGTGATTTCCAAAACAATATTTGCTGTTCCATAGGTACAACAAACTAACTCAAGATTTCTTAGAAGATTATTTTGAGAAAACCAATATGCCTTTTTGTAAAATATATGAAATTAAATCCAACTTCATGAAGTGCTTTGTAAGTTTTAACAATCTTTTAAAAAAATCAGTGCCAGAGCTTGACAAGCTACATTGCAAAACTATGATGCATTTAAAAATTGTTATGAGATTACATTCTTCCTAAGAGCAAAAAGAAAAGTTTTCAAAAGAACACATATACTACTACTGTATATGCTCATATATAAGTCAACTTCATGTGTAAGATGAGGGCAGGTTTGGGGGCTGAAATTATGGATCTTGATATGACCTGTGGATAAGTTGAGAATCATTCTATGGCGAGCGGAAAGAACCAATGTCACAGCAGTGGTCCAACTGTGCCTGGCCATTGTTGTTGCTATTTCCCTTCCAAGGCATTCAAAAAGGCCAGAAGCAGCACTACTACAACAGAGAAAGTAAAGGGGGGCGGTCAAGTGCTTTATTTCAGTTCTCCTAGGATGGACTAAACTTTTGCCTTTTGTCACTCCACTCAGAAAAGGTAGTTCCTCCTCCTTTTTGTAAGAGTTAAGATACAGTGCTCACACTGAGCTATGGATAATTCAACCCAGTTTTTTTTTTGGGGGGGGGGGGGTTGATTTTTTTATTAAAATTACCAGAGTTATACATGAGTATATAAATTACCTCTTATTTTCTTTACTTTCTCCACAAACTCAAAAAATACTTTGCCCATTCCAAAGTTATGCATTTTAGGCACCCAACTGTGCATCTGAATGTAATCATAATAATACGTTATACTTTATGACTTAAGACATATGGTGACTAATGTGTTACCTTTAGCTATATCTTCATCCTCTTTGTTCTTGCTTGATGATGCACCATTCTTGGCAGCAGCTGAAGGACTCTGTAAATGTACTTAAAATATAAATATGCTACACCAAGTGGAAAGAGTACTATATTTATGAGTACTTTAAAAATAGCCCTGTATTAATGTAATTATCTTGTGGCAAACTTTTTCAATATTTCAAACAAGCAAACCAACAGGAGATAGAAATCTGTGTTTGGAACAACCAGGTCTATTTTAGAGGCACCTCAGCTTGCTCAGTTCAGTCACAAAGTAATGTTGGATTATTGTTGTTGTGTGCCTTCAAGCCATTTCTGACTTATGATAAAAACCATCATGAGGTCTTTGTTGTTGACTTGTTCAGTGGGAGTGTACCTTTGTTACCCTTCTCAAGCTAAGAGAGTACTATTTGCCCAAGGTCACCCAGTAGGTTTCCATAGCTAAAGTGGATTTGAATCATGGTCTCAAGTCATAGTCCAACACTCAAATCACTACACTACGCTGGTTTTAAATGTTAGATTATTATAACAAAACTGTCTAATGAGTGGGAGAAGAGACCGAGTCAGTGAGATTGCCCCATGAGAAGACTGAATAAATCGAGTTAATTTTGGAGATAGTTCTCTTGAAAATGCAACAAATGAACACTTTTGTTCATTATAAGGATTCCATAACCTGCTGAATTCACTCTGCAGCCCTTATTAACCATTATCCATCACATATTGTTGTATATATCCCCACCTCATCAGACATTGCTTTTCTCACACTTAAAGTGATGATTCTAAAGAGAAATTTTCTCAGTGGGAACGCTTTCTACCTAAGCAAGACCCTTGGTGTTTCAGGGTTTTTCCTTTTATGGGGAACCTCCAAGAACTGCTCCTCTTCAGAGTAGTCATGTTCCAGGTGAAAAAGGGATGATGTCAAGGAGGCTGAGTGCTCCACTCAGCTGAGGAAAGCATAATGAGTAATAAATGAACAGTGCTTGTATGTGTGTTGGTATTATAATCCTTTATGTATACTTGGATCTTAACTTTAGCTATGCTACAGTGACCCAACTATGTTCAAATCAAATCAAATCATTTATTTCGGTCATTGACCAGCACAGGAAATAGAGTCACATTTTCATACAAACTTGGTATGTTTGGTACATTAAAAATATAAATATAACTACTAAATAACAATATGGGTGAGGGAGCAGAAGGGGAAACAGGATAAAAACATACAATGCCTAGACCCATCACCAAATTGCAGATTCAGGGAAGAAGATTACTGGACACACAGTTGACTTTGGGACTAGTCATTCCCTGAAGGATTTTGTATGCTGCTGCACAGAACTTTGCAACATTGTAGGTTGTAGCTGAATTGGTATCTGCAAGTAGCAGGGAGGTATAAAATTGTCCTGAATGGCCTGGGTGCTTGCATATCAGAGGTAAAATAAGCCTGGCACGGATATCCCTGTAGAACGGGCACTGAAGGAGCACATGTTCTATTGTTTCTACATGACCCGAGTCACAGGGGCAGTGTCTCTCTGGGAAAGGGATCTTCCGGTAGCGGCCTTCGAGTACAGCTGATGGGAGAGCATGGCATCGAGCCAGGGTGAAAGCCCTTCGATGAATGCGAACCTCTAAGTTTGTTAAATATGGCATAGGGGAGGCAAGATATCTGCTGTCTTCATTGATAAGGAAGGTTGGAACCGAGGCCAGATCTAGTTGGCGCTCTGTGTCTGTGATACGTTGTTTAATAAATGCTTTAGCTTGATTGTAATCCATAGCTAATAGTAGACCTGGAGAAAATCCCAATGAGGAGATTTTGTATGCTACTGCCTGCTTCCATGTGGATTGGAAGTCATCCTCCATGGTTAGTGGGGCAGACCCAACTATGTTAATAAGGAAACAAATAATACATAACGATGTGGTTTTAGTATTAAGGCATGTGTTTTTATATTTGTAAGCTACTCAAAAATCCTGTGAACAAGGTCCCCTCATTAAATGCCCATCTGTATCTAGAAATGTTTAAATATCCCCGCAAAAATGCTTACCTGTGTCCCAGCAGTGGGAAACGTAACCCCTTCTTCCTTTAGAGATTTAATAGTTGCTGATATCAGGCTAAACTGTGCATCTTTCTGAAATTCTTCAGACCATTCCACCATTAAAGCTTTTAATTTTTCACATACTTTAGGATGAGCCTAAAAACAGAAAACAAAAGAGGCACAGCCAAATATTATGAGATGACAGCACAGTTTACAATACAGGTTATGCAAAGTTATAGAGAGGAACCAATAATCTCTAAGGGAGATTTTTAACAGAGCTGTGGACTTGTGTTTCCTCCCAGTTAGTCCTCAAAATTCAAATGGTAATCATGATATTATGGAAGGTCAGGTATTTAACCAAAAGGTAAACTAAGTTAGACATAACCTAGCAAAATGTCAATCTAAATTATGGCCTATATTTTCACATGGTTTAGAGCAGTGGTTCTCAAGCTGTGGGTCCCCAGATGTTTTGGCCTTCAACTGGCCAGGATTTTCTGAGAGTTGTAGGTCAAAACACCTGGGGACCAACAGGTTGAGAACCACTAGTTTAGACATTTTAATTCCAAACCAAAGACATAGTAACAGACGTTGGTAACAGACATACACCAATAATTATAAATACCATCATTAAAATGTATGCTAAAGTTTTAAGATAAAATTCATTTTCTACTCTTCCCACTCTGCTATTACACAGAACACCTAGACTTTCCTTTCAGTCTATTGTCCCTGCATGGCAACTGTCACTTTAGATATTACAAAAAGTTAATTTTCTTCATAACAGTAATGAAAAGAATCCAAGCGTACCAAGTAATTTCATGGCATTGTATAGTCTTATCCCACCTACTTCTTCCATTCAATTCTCTTTATTATGCCCATGGCTGTAACCAAAGCTAATACCAGAAATGTATTCTACAGAACTATGAACAGTTTAAGTTCATTTTTCTATTGTCTTTCACTATATATGATAAAAATCAGAGTCTTACCTTGTTTATTATAACACGCACTTCACTGGCAAAGTCACGTGAGCAGATTTCTAAGTGGAAAATTTTTCCACAGTTTGAAACACAGGCTCCCAATAGCTAAGAAATAAAAAATGTGGTTATAATTGAGTAAACATACAAAATATAAAATGTTATCAATTTAACCGATTGTAAAGGTATTAGTCATAAAATAGACTACATCATATCTCCTAAACAATATTAACATAACTCAAATATGAAATCTCAGAACTATTATTTTATGAAGAACTGTGACTTGTGTAATATGTACGATACTTATACTTACAGTTAGGGCCTGCAGTGCCACATGGGGTACTTTGTGATTTACTCTTTTCAAAATGGCTTTCAGGCAGTCTTTTGCGCTAGATAAAATAATGCAAATGTCAGACTCTTAATCACATAAGTAAAAAAAGGATAAAACTGTTGCAGAGAAGAAGACACCGAACACAAGCATCTTCAAGTCTACCTTACAGTTAACTAGTCAAACCAAAGTCAAAGTGACTTCAGTGAGTAATGCTTGCAACCTCGGTATATGTAATCAGACACACACTTATTAGGAACATTATTTCATTGTAATCTTGTTACTTAGAAGTAAATATCTTCAGAATGAAATGTGAAAATTGTAACCATGAAACCAGGCTCTATATTTCTCCCAATTTAAATCACAACTTAATGTTTCAATAATATGTCATTTTCTATCAGTAGCCATTTCCAGATCTTTTAATTCTGGACAGACAATGCATGGAAAGGAAGGAGAATCAAACTTGTGTTTCCTCTACTCCTGAAAAAGGCTGTGTACGCAATAGGGCAGGGGGAATACGAACAGCCAAACAGCCTTTACCCTAGAACAGCTTCTCCTATGCTTTAATCACATGCTGATGTCCAGATTTAAATTTAACAATGTTAATCTCACATATAAAGTTGTCCAGCTACAAAAAACTGAGTGGTTCATTAATTACGCACATTTATTTTCATTCAGATTTTTTTTAAAAGATGTGAACTGCATTTAAGGAAAGCAGAAAACCTTGTCATATCCAAGCAAATATGCACTCTTTTGCAGTTTTGTCTAATTCCTAACAAATGTTATTGGAAATAAAGATTCACTATGAAGAATAGGAAGAAAGTGAAGCCTGAATTCTCCCTAGAAAACAAAATAGCTAAATTGAGAAATTTATACTTTGAACCTACAGGTAAAGACATAACTAACTAGGAAAGACAATTACAGTAGAAAGCACTAAGAAAAGAAGACCACATTCCAGTTGGATAGACTTAACCAAAGAATCCCATGGCTCTGAGTTTGCAAGATCTGAACAGGGCTTCTGGGGCCAATGGAGTTTGGAGGTCTCTCAATCATAGGGCCAAAGTCAACACAATGGCAGTTAATGACAAAAAGATACAATGTGTAAGAGGATTGTAGTGTCAGCTGACAAGAGTTCTGAGATACATAGAGTTATTACAAAAAATATGTTCTCTAGCAGAAGTCCATCATATGAGTCGCGAAGAAGCATCTAGAGCAGTGGTTCTCAACCTGTGAGTCCCCAGATGTTTTGGCTTTCAACTCCCAGAAATCCTAATAGCTGGTAAACTGGCTGAGATTTCTGGGAGTTGGAGGCCAAAACAACTGGGGACCCACAGGTTGAGAATCACTGATCTAGAGATTCCTAGAGAGGGGTTCCCTCAGCTAAAAATATAGCTTTTAAAAATAGTGTTTTTTCCATATTTGCAGGGATCCTATAAACCTAACCCCACTGAATGTGGAGAGCTGACTGTATGTATATACCATCCTGAACAGGTCTGGAGTGGATAATTCCATTTACTCTGTGCGTGTTAGATATGCCTCCATTTTTTACATAAGAGAAATATTTTACTTTGAATGTGTGCCTAAAATATCCGGAATAGAACTGCTGCTCAAATCCAGGCAGAGATTCATTAGTAGAAACACAATGTCTACTAATAACACTATGACAATTCAGAGAGGCTTGGCGGACCTTAGAAAGTATCTTACCCATTAGGAGTGCTTCCAACTTTGTCACATATATCCATAATAACTCCCCAGTCTTCAGCAGTGTTGTACTCATTTGTCGCCTTTTCTATAAATAAAAATAGAATTTTGTGAATCAACAGCTTTTTAGAACACAAGGGGCCTTCATTGGCTCTATTACTAGCTTCCTTATTTTCCTGACTATATTTCTAAAGCCCTGAAATGCACATTTCAGAGAATTCCCACTAAAGTATGCATCTATAAACAAGACATGTATTTATCATCATGTAGAGGGAAATGCAAATGCAATTACAAAATCACAATTCCACATGATGTTTAGCTTTAAACCATTTGAAGTATGAAAAAGACATGCCTTTCATAACTACTTTGCCAAAGTACAAACACTGCAAATTTTTGTAGGCTAGCACTTCAGGTGCTATGTACATGTCTGATATATCTCAACTCTTTTCTCAACCATCCCATAGGTGAAATGTGGCGAAAAAGGAATTCAACACACAGGCACTTTGTTTTAAAATGTCTGTTATCTCCGAATAAAACTGATAAAAGATCTCAACCTTTTTTCAAAAAAGTTATGCTTGTTTGTAGAAAGAAGTTTCTATCTCTGAAATAACAAATTGCTAAAACTTTAAAAACTACTGGTCACCTGCAAGTGTGGCATTTCAGGAAAATATCATGAAGCTACAGCTGTTTTCTACTAGTTTCAGGCTGAATACAACTATATTATATTGTATTCTTAAAGAGTATGTTTTATCAAAGGCAAAGTTATGTTAATCTTGAATACCAGTATATAAAGATAACTCAGATGCAGCTGAAGAAGTAGACTACAAAAACCTATCCACTCAGTTAGTCTCTAAGGTAATACAAGATCTCTTTGCATATTAATGTCTTACTGCTTTTCTTTCAATTACTTTAGTAAGAAAAAGTGGGCTACCAAACTTTGATTTTTTATAGTTACTCTAATGCAAACTTATCACAGCTTTTCTTGGTAAGATTTGTTCTGGGGGGTGGGGTTTCTTTCCCCTTCCTCTGAGGCTGAGAAAGTTTGACTTGCTCAAGTTAACCCAGTGGGTTTCCGTGACTAAATGAGAAGTCAAACTCTGGTTTCCAGAATTGTAGTTCAACATCACACTGGCTCCAAGGCTGGACTGAACTTAATGTCAAATAATACACACTAAAATATAATGTCTCTTGAAAATATAACCTATTAATCTACTTCTGGCATCAGGGTGAACTTTATATGAGAGGCATTCAGAATTTAACCGCTTGTTTAGTAATAATTTCTCTGACAAAGCGTGAAATATCTAAAAAGCTCCCTTCTGCAATGCGATCTTCCCACCCCCACCCCGAAAGTATAGCTATCCCTGTAAAAATAATGTAAAAGAAGCTGGTTTTATAAGAGACAAAGCCGATATGCAAGATATAAAAGAAATACTTAAGGTTTTTGTATTCATTGCATTTAGGTTTTGCTTTTATTTTCATCACCTCACTTTGAAGATTTACACTTGGAGATTAAGCTTTGAGAAGTGATAAGTTCCTCTTCTCAAAGAGGGGGCTCCCTGCTCCATTAAAGTACATTTGGCCCTCTGGCCTTGTCTTTTCTACCACAAATTAATGCTGTCCTGTTTTTACATTCAGTCCTTTCTGATTCACAGCTGCAGACTAGGAAGCCCTGTTTTGCTTCTTTATCAGGCTACTCCTCCAGTGAGTCATACAGAAATGTAAGGGTTGGAATCCTAACATCCTACACAGATCATTCTTATTCATCCTAAAAATGTGGGATGCCGATCTCAAGTGTTGATTCAGGATGTGAAGAAGAACTGGTCCTGCTGTGCTGGGAATACTCACCTAAATTGTTTTCTTAGTGTTTGCCTTATACTATTTTGTTTTCAATGATGTATTTTACTGGTATTGTTGATTTATTTCACTGTTAGCTACTTTAAATCCCATTTGCTGGGTGGCAGGTTAACAAATAATAAAGGATCTGCTCCCATTCATAAATAATACCAACAGCCACAAACGTTAGCTGTCCTGGTTAATTACCATCCATAGACATCAATTAAATGAGAATTTTCGTTAATTTCATCAGACTCATTTTCAGCCAATGAAATCATACATGAATATTATTGGCATATTCTCTTTCTACTGGGAAAAAAAACAAAAGTCTTTGATAGCTTATCAAAATTCTATGCAAAGATTAATAGGATCTTAAAGAAAGGGTTGATTGTGTGAAGTTTCACACAATCAACTTCCATGTGTGCAGCTGAAAATGGGTTGTGCATTTGGTCCCTTTTCCTGAACCAGTTGCAAGAAATTGTAAAAAAAACATTAATATTTGCACTGATCACACATTCAATAGAGCAAGGGATATCAAGGAATAACAATTGGCACCAGTTAACTGAGAGTCTACTGCAGAATTTTCCAAACATTTCATTTTGGTAACACACTTTTTCAGACATGCAGCATTTTGTGACAAAGTAATTCAGTTTTACTAGCAAACTCTTACAAGAGATGCAGATACATACATAAATTGTAATAACAAAATGTGTGAGAACAAAACATATCATGACAACCTTTCATTTATATCTTTAAAATATATGATGTATTGCTTAGTTCACATAGGCTCTGAGGTTTCTTGTTATCTTTAAGCAACACACCTACACACTGCAGTCGACAGTTTGGAAAGCTCTGGTCTACTATAATAATTTGTGTTTATAGCTTCTAGCAATTCTAGCAACATGGAATTTAGTTCAACTTGTAACATTAGAAAAATAGGTCTTTTATTAGCTATTCTGTGTGGATTTTTCAGTCTCCTTTCATTACAGTTTATGAGGGGCGGCCAGAATCCTTTTGAGCTTAAGTTAATTAGTGTTTAGTTGCATTACTCTTATTGGAATATATTAGTTCTTTAGCAATATGCCATAGTGTCAGTATAGCATGGTGTCGTTTCGCTTTACTTTTGGCTATACATATGTATAGTTCTCCCCCCCCCCGCCCCCCGAATACTTTCTATGTTGTTGTGAACCCATTTGTATGTGTCAAAATGAATAAATATCAACTTTAAAAATAATGTGAAGCAATTCATAAAAGAACTAAATAACTACAGACTACAACTTTATTAGAAAAACACTGAAAACATCAAATATAGGCATAGATCCAAATGTCTTCTTCCATGCGGAAAAAGTTTCTGCCCCATTGCTTTCCTGGAGCCAAATGGAGGGAAAAGGCACCCACATTTCACAAATATTCCTTGACACATCAGGAATCTTCCAAAACAACATGGAAAATGTCATCAGGGGCTACAGAGTGAGGAGTGTGGAGCTCTTCCACAAACAGGGGAGAAACTGAGACCAATTATTGTAATTCTTTCCCCTCCTTGAAATGAGGTCTTTTTACACTCTTAAGATGTTATTAAACTAGGTACACAATCATATGGGACAGAGTATACTAACATTGCTCCCTACTATTGCAAAACACACAGGAAGTGGGATAAAAGCCTAAGGACAGAAATGTTCACTTTATCCATGAAAGCTCTCACTGCGAGGTTTCCAGACAGAGATTGGTAAGGTTTTAGGCCTAGGAGATACTTTTTTTTCTTAAACAGAAAGTAAACCAGAAATGACATGTGGGTCACCTTCTATTATTTTTTTCAAAAGGCCTTCTGTGATTTTAAAATGTTCAGAAAGAATTTCCTAAAGGGTGTTTGAGGGCACTGGATGACGGAAGTTGGAGACGGGTTTCCTTCAAGATCTCATGAGGGACAGCATGCCCCATTGAGCGTTGGCCATCCATATTAAACCCTAGATTGAAATAAAATAATAGAATATGGAAGGTAAGCTAAGCATGTGTTTTGAAGTAAGACACCATGACTGAAACTGTCTGATGTAATATACAAACACATCTGTGGTTATTAGAAGCCCTCCGAAACCCTCTATAGCCAGACCAGAATTGAGGAAAGATCTAGAGACATAGACAATTCCTCAAGTAACATAGTATTAAATCACTGAAGGCAGGAACAGTAAATTCATGGGCCCCATGAGAGCAACTGTGCCATGATCCATGACAGCTGTCCATGCCTAAATTTAGTATTTACACTTTCATGTGAATTTGGAAACTGACAATTGATTTAACATTCTGCACTAGCTGAAGGTAGTCTTGTGTAGTAAAACACCACAGTAGTCTGGTCCTAACATAGTCAAAACAGGAGTAATCAAAACAGGGTGCTGTATCAGCTGTGACCCCTAATTGGCATTAGGCATTTGTGGCAATCACAACTGCCATCTGTACATCCAGAGATAGCATTAGATCATGAAGATTTCACTTTTGATCTATTGACTTTTAGTTTTACAGAAATAGATGATCTCATGCTCAGGAACAGCTGATCACCTCTGTCCTCCCTTAGTTATAGTATCAGTATCTTGTTGGATTATATTTCAGACTGTTCACCTACTCTAAAACTGTTCCTGAGCAACTATTACAAGGTTCTGCTGCTGCCCTCAGATTAGCAAACAACAACATACTGATGACACATTAGTCTGACTCTCTAGCTGACCTCCCAGCGGCTTGGTGTAGATACTTAACAGATAAGGTAAGATAGATCTACCATAAAGTAAAAAGTCATGAAGTAGAACAAAAATCTTTCAAAATTACCAGTGGAGTTTGTCCTGTTAGAACAATGGTTCTCTTCTATCTCCAAACAAGAATCTATGTGGATTCTTTCTATGTTTCATTAAAAACAGGTCTCATCTCCCTTTCTAGTATCGTGATTCAAAATGGCATGTTGGACTCTAAGTTGTAAAATGTCCAGAATAGGGTACAGATTTACAATTGCTTTTTTTCAGGGAAGTAGGATTTCCTGAAAGAGAATTCCCTTCCCCTAAAAAGTATGTTAACCACCCCTATAGCCTAAACAGTAGGTTTCATCCTGACAGCTCCTAATATCCTAGAGGAATAAGGATCTAGAAAACAAGTGGTAAATCTCAAGCCTACAAGTAGCTTGTGCATATCCTCAGGTTGCACAAGCAAAAATGTATCCAAACATAAAGAGACAAGACAGCTTCCCAGCTTTGTTTATTCCATGTCTGTCAAAATATAAAATAGACTCAGTATAACAGCAAATGAAATACTAATTCCTCAGTTTATTTTGTTTTTGTAACATTTTATAAATCAAAAGCAAGCAACTTGCTTACATGTAACAGAACAATTCACTGGTGTAAGGTTTTTATAATGTTGACAAAGGAGAACAGAAATCGTACCAGAAATCAAAGTCCATTTGCAGTTAGCTCTCTCTATATTGGCCTTAGAAAGCTACATAACGAGATCTCTAACAAGAATGCATTGTCATCTGTAACATGGCTTCTGAGCTTCTCTAGAAACATCTCTGTTGTCAAAATAGTATCAAAACAGCTTCTCCTGAAACATACTGGTATTTCAATGAAAGTTTTAAAATAATATATTTACAGAATCCATATATGTTTATACATTCTTAGCATTCCTTGCATATAATCCTCATATTTATCAGATCTTGACTTCTTAGAACATCTTTGTGTTTTGACAACAAAAATTAAGGTTTTGCTACTGAAGTCTATGGGATATGAGTAACCATGCATAGTATTGCTTCGTTCAGGTAAAAAACCAATACATCTAAGCTTTTAATAAACTTGTGAATGTAAAGAGCAAACCTGTCTGTTTCTTGCTTGTTTAACCGATTTTCAAAAGCTAAAATATTAAGCACATTACATATATTTGTAAGCACACATCTGATTAGAACTTTTTGGTACTGTTCCATTATCCAGGCGGAGGCCATTAGGGGGTAATAGAGAGAGAAGGGCTGTCCATTTTAGGGCGGGGGACAATTGAAGGGGCAAAACCATTTTCCCCTTTTTTCGCTGGTCATTCCCCCTCCCCACTTCTTATATCATAGACGAGCGGAATAACAGGAAAACAGGAGGAAATGGTTTTATTCCTTCAACCCACCCCAACCCCCATAAAATAGACTATCCTTCTCTCCCTAGCACTCCCTAGTGGCCTCCACCCAGATAATGGAACAGTACTGAAGTTTTTAATAATTTTGTATTGTACAAAATATAGTCACAATCTTTTTAAAAATGTTGTTTTAAGTTCATGTTTCATGTGTGTGTGTGTGTGTGCATGTGTGAGTGTTGGATGAACTGCAGTTAGTTTGAAATGTGCTCAAGTTGATTGCCATTTTCTAGTTTTCCACCATGCTGCAATATTCTTGTTAGATTCTAATGACTTTGTTTCCTGGCTTTTTAACTACTATTTTGATATAATTAATATCTTTCTTTATGTTTGACTGTTTAAGTTGCATATTAAATGTTATTTTAAATAATATAATGAATTACACTATACTCTTCAGTGTCAAATCTGTTAACACATACAAGTTAGGGTCATTAACACTGCAGTCCTATGCAGAAATAAGCTCCTAGACTCTTAGGTGAGTGTACATAAGGACTAAAACATACTTTCATAATTCTTTTTACACTGACAACTTGTTCCTGTTCCCAGATTTCAAATTATCCACCAACCAGGAAATACAATAGCTAATAGCTGACTACAAGTGATGTCACTGTAAGTTATGAAGAAAAGTGTTCTCTTCTGTGTGAAACCATATGACCTGTTGACTAATAGATTCCAGGCCCAGCCCCTTTCAGGAACTTTGGGCTTTTTAAGATGGAATATGAACCACCGAGATCATTCATTATCTTAAAAGATCAAATACTTATGTAGTCAGCCTAGTGACAGCAATTACAATATAGGTACAAAAAAGTATACCGATAGCGATAAAGCTCTTTAAAGTCATTTTCGAACAATTATTGACAGATAAAACAGAAAACAAATAAATCCATTAATTTCAACTCAATGCTTTCAGAACATTCTGTGAAACTGTACACCACAATGCATTTTAAAACAAACATATTTTGTTCTTTCAATCTAACTATGGAACTAATCTATGTTGTTAAATCAAGACAGCCATCCATGCCAGATCCCCAACCTCCAAATCAACTTAACCCTCTAAACTACAAAATATTGAACAACAACCTTTAAGACATAAGGTTCATTTCTGGAGCCAATTCAAGGACCTGGTGTGTGCCAACATAGCCTTAAATCACTCAGAGTGAAAATACTTGAAAGTACATAACCTGTCACATGCCGCAGGTGAGCAAAGGAAGTGGCAGAGATTACAATACTTATAAGGCCATTTCTGCAAGGAGGAAAAATCCTATTCTGCTTGGTTTTTAATGTAATAATTTCATAGTGGAAAGTTCAGGTCAGCTTTGGACTGACAAAGGCATAACACTTCTTTTATACATGTGTATCATACAGTGAATGCAAGACCAGCATAAGACGCTTACTTTGAAGTACAGTTCTGCTTTGTGGTTGCTTGAGTACACAAGAGATAACAGTCCAGCTGACAAACAACCAGAGCAGGAGTCAGGCTAAAAACCTGACTCACCCTTGAATTACTCTTGGGCAAATCATTAGCTCTCAGGTTCAGTTCTACATTTGACAGCTGAGAAAGAACTGCCCTTGGGTAGCTCCCAGCCAGCAGAACATTTCATAAAGATAGTAGAAATTCTAGAGATGAAGAGACCCATTTCCATGTTGCGCATGGGAAATGGGCCAAATATTTATAAGTTGGAAGAAACAACATGAAATAGTTGTGACCCAGTTTCAGGAATATAGAGTACAGTATTTCCGGAACAATAATCTCTTAATCAGAAAGTCATTTCCTCCCAACCAAAACACAACAACCCAAACCCATGCCAATAGAGACAACTCTGTGCTATGGTAATATGGTCTGCATTCTGGGAATATGGTCTGAAATGATACACAGCCACAACCCCAAGAAAATGAGTGACCTCCTTTTTGGCCAGTGCAAAATATCTGAATGGAGGTGGGGATTATAATTATTCATATCCTGCTTTTATCGCGATTGAGACACTTGGGGGCCCATCCACCAGGAAACTCTCTCTTTGCCCCAATGACTCAGGAATTGTGTGGCTGGATATTGGCACAGCATCCCCTGAGTCATGCCAAGGAACCCTGGTTACTACTACTATTACTAATGTCCCACTTTCCCCCCAGATTGGAACTCAAAGCCATGCAACAACAATATTTAAAATGTTCAAAATCCACAAACCACAACAGTTAAAGTTAAAACTTAAAACATTCATCATTAAAACACATACAAACCACTGGCCATATCTAGTGTAAGAGGGACCTTACAAGTGGTGCTTCTGAAATGTAGAATTAATGCAGTTTGACAGCACTTTGGCTCCTTCCACACAGCTGAATAAAATCCCACATTATCTGACAGCGTGGACTCAGGGCCCTTCCATATGATTCCAGGTTTTCTGTTTATCCCAGACAGTGTGAACTCATATAATCCAGTTTGAAGCAGAAAATGGGATTCTGGGATATAGGGCCTGTCTGGAAGGGCCCTCAGATATTCCAGTTCAAAGCAAATATTGTGGGTTATTCTGCCTTAATATTCTGGATGATATGGCCTATGGTCCCTTCCACACAGCTGTATAAAATCTCACATTATCTGCTTTGAACTGGGTTATATGGCTGTGTAGAAGGGTCTTTAGGCTTCTGCCGTGTGATGCTATGGAATCAAGGAATCTGTGGCCTAATGAGGCACTTACACCTTTTAGCAGATGAAGCCTTGTAAAACCACAACTCCTATGATCCTCCAGCACAGAGACTCCTTCTACACTACCATATAAAATCCAGATTATCTGTTTTGAACTGGATGTAAACTGAGATAATCCGGTTCAAAGCAGATAATGTGGATTGTCTGCTTTGATAATCTGGATTATATGGCAGTGTAGAAGGGTCCTGAGTCATGGCAGTTAAAAGTGGTATTGCTGTGCATTAATCCTACAATGTAGATGTGCCAGGCCCCTTCCACATGGCTAAATAAAATCCCAGGGCCTTTCCACACAGCTATATAACCCAGAATATCAAGTCAGAAAACCCCACAATATCTGCTTTGAACTGGGATATATGGCAGTGTGGAGTCAGGTAACCCAGTTCTAAGCTGTTATTGTGGAGTTTTTGGCTCACAACAGTCTAGTCACTGTGGGACTAGAGAAGTCTTTGCTCTCCTGACATTTTGTCTTCCCTTTGCCCCAAAAGGACCAGCCTTTGTGTGTGAGGTGCCTTCAAATCACCTGCCAGATGAGTGGCCTCAAGGACTCCTTAGGTCCCTTCTACACAGCTGAATAAAATCCCACATTATCTGCTTTGAACTGGATTAGATAACCCAGCTCAAAGCAGATATTGTGGTGTTTTCGGCCTTGATATTCTGGGACATAGGGCTGTGTGGAAGGGCCTTGAGTTCACACTCTGATGTTGTGGGATATTCTGGGGTATAGGGCTGTGTGGATGGGCCCCTTGAGTCACTGTCGGCATAGAGAAGTCTTTGCTAGCCTGACACTTTGTCTTCCCTTCACCCCAAAGGGGACCAGCCTTTGAATTGGATTAGATATCTGCTTTGAATTGGATTAGATAACCTAGTTTAAAGCAGGTATTGTGAGATTTTCTGCCTTGATATTCTGGGATATAGGGCTGTGTGGAAGGGCCTTGAGTCCACACTCAGATACTGTGAGATATAGGGCTGTGTGGAAGGGCCCTTAAACAAGAAGGGGCCTTGACAGTTCCTACCCTTGAAAGAGACCTGGCAGTGGCCTCCCTCCCAAGTGCTAACCAGGCCAGGCCCTGCTTGGCTTTCTTCCCTGGGGCCCTTCCGTGGCCCTCGACTCACCCACATCCTGCTCGAAGGGGTTGGGGGCGAAGAGCGGCATGGTGGCGGCAGAGGGAAGGGGAGGCGAAGAGACCCGGCTGAAGGAAGGGAGGAAGGAGCGACTAGAGACGCAGCCCACCAGCCCTCGCTCCTCCACTCAGCCCCGCCCCTCTCCTCTCCCCAACTTCCTCTTCCGCCCTCCGCGAAGGACCCGCCCTCTCGCTTCATTGCCGTCCAGCGCGCGCCTGAGGAGACGCGAAGGTCGGAGGAGAAGGAATACGGCTTGAACATCGCGTCCCCCTTTCTCGTTTCCCTCGACACTAAGGGAAAATGTCGGCTAAGGAGGCAGGCAATACAATAGACACCTAGCACCGGGGTCCTAGGAAGGAGAGGCGCATAGAGATAGAAGAGTGGAGTAGAACACTTAATTGATTGGCGTTCTGCGGAGACAGGCAATACAATAGACACCTGGCTTCAGGGTCCTAAGAAATAGAGGCGTGTAGACGTAAACATTGTTGAGAGCGCTTCACTATTTGCCTGGAAGTGAAAAGAGTAGCAAGGCAGCTGACTGCATTTGCAATCCATTGGTAATATAGGGCCCTTCCACACAGCCCTAYAACCCAGGATATCAAGGCAGAAAATCCCACAGTATCTGCTTTGAACTGGGATATATGGCAGTGTAGACTCAGATAACCSGGWTATCWRRGYMKAMAMTSCCAYAGTATCYSMKTTSAAMKSRGATACTRTGGSAKTKTMKRCYYWGATAWCCSGGTTATCTGAGTCTACACTGCCATATATCCCAGTTCAAAGCAGATACTGTGGGATTTTCTGCCTTGATATCCTGGGTTRTAGGGCTGTGTGGAAGGGACCATAGTAAGGCCTGCTGTTTTAAGCAGTCAAGGCATTCAAGTTCCAGTGAGGAGAAGGGGAGGGGAGTTCAGAACAAGATGACACTTTGGGGGGTTGTGCAAATCTATACTATTTGCCAGCACTTGTAACTGTCGTGGCTCAGTGCCATACAATCATGGGAGTTTTAGTTTTACAAGGTCTTTAACCTCCTCTGCCCAAAAGTGTTGGTGCATCAGCAAACTACAAAAATGAGACTTTGGGGCTGTGCAAATCTGTACTGTAGATGAATGCAGTTTGCCAACACTTTAACTGCCATGGCTCAGTGCTATAGAATCATGGGAGTTGTAGTTTGACAAGGTCTTTAACCTCTGCCAAACTACAAATTCTAAAATTCCATAGCATTGAGCCATGGCAGTTCAACTGATGTTGAACTGCATTCATTCTCCAGTCTAGATGCACTTTAAGCAAATCCAATAGAATTCAGAATAAGTTTTTCTTTTATGCTGGGGTCTCAAACAGCCATATGGTGGGAAGCTGAAACCTAAATTGATAAGTATGTGTAATAGCTAAGTGGGCCTCCTAGTGGCGCAGCGAGTTAAACCGCTGAGCTGCTAAACTTGTTCACCAAAAGGTCAGAGGTTTGAATCCAAGGAGCAGTGTGAGCTCCCACTGTCAGCCCCAGCTTCTGCCAACCTAACAATTTGAAAACATGCAAATGTGAGTAGATCAATAGGTACCGCTTATGTGGGAAGGTAACAGCGCTCCATGCAGTCATGCTGCCCACATGACCTTGGAAGTGTCTTTGGACAACGCTGGCTCTTCGGCTTAGAAATGAAGATGAGCACCACCCCCCAAGGTCGGACACGACTAGACGTAATGTCAGGGGAAACCTTTACCTTTACTTTCTAATATATAAGTAAGTATAATTGCCCCGCCCCCCCCGCCCCCCAAGAATATACCGACTGTAGGATTGTTTCCCATGCAATTACCCTATTGTGATTCTGCCCTTTCAGTCCACATACCTCTAACTCTGGAGATGGTGAAAACCGGGACATATTGCGGTCATACAACATTTTAATAAAATCAAGATGCAAAAATTATCAGAACAGACTAGCTATGAGAAGCTGAGACATTTTGGGAAGGCAAGATTCTGCACCTCTTCTCTTCTCCAGCTCAGTTTTTCATTTAGAGATCAGTTTTCAGCAATTGAAGTAAACCAGGGGGAAAGGAGAAAGAAACAGGGCCTTTCTACGCAGCCCTACATCCCAGAATATCAAGGCAGAAAATCCCACAATATCTGCTTTGAACTGGGTTATCTGAGTCCACACTCAGATAAAGCGGAATTTTCTACCTTGATATTCTGGGATGTAGGGCTGTGTGGAAGGGCCTCAGGACATTTTAAAAGCAGTTGAAGAAGTCAAGACAATGGGACTAATCAGGACTGTCTTCCCAAGTCAGGCAGTTAGAGATTATTTATTTATTTCGCATATTTGTATCCCGTTGTTCTCATCCCCCGGAGGGGGACTCAAAGCGGCTTCACAAGAGGCATTCATTCAATGCAAACAACAGTAATAAATGATAAAAGCAATTAAAACAATTCATTACTGCTTTAAAATTACTATAACATTGTTTAAATCACACAGGTTTGAAATCATAGTCCAGGTCTGTCCATTGTCATTCACACAAACTGGGTCTCATTCTAAATTTCTGCCTCTACTGTTCGAACGCTTGGTCCCATAGCCAAGTTTTGAGTTTCATTCTAAAGGACAAGAGGGAGAGGGCCAATCTAATGTCACTGGGTAGAGAGTTCCACAGGCAAGGGGCCACCACTGAGAAGGCCCTGTCTCTCGTGTCCACCAGTCACGTTTCCAAGATCAACAGGCCTCTCCTGTTGATCTTAGACTTCGCAGTGGTTCATAACAGGAGGATACGTTCAAATAGGTAAGCTGAGCCAGAACCTTTCAAGGCTTTATAGGCTAAAGCCCGCACTTGGAATTGTGCTTGGTAGCAGATTGGCAACCAGTGGCATAGCAGAGGGGTTGTATGCTGTCTGCATGTCGCTCCAGCGAGCAACCTGGCTGCCATCCATTGGACTAGTTGGAGCTTCCAGTCTTTAAAGGCAACCCCATGTAGATTCTATTGCTGTTTTACACTGAAGAGCTGGAGTGGATGTCTGAGGTTCTGGAAGAAGGCTTTGACTTGAAAAGTTATTTTGAGGTGTGTGTACACTGCATTAGACTTTTGGAGTTGTGTAAATCTACACTGTAGAACTAATGCAACTGGGTACCACTTTTAACTGCCATGGCTCAATGCTATGGGATCCTGGGAGCTGTCATTTTACAAGATCTTGAGCCTTCTCTGCCAAAGAGTGCTGGTGCCTCGCCAAGCTATATACCACATAGCATTGAGCCATGGCAGTTACAGTGGTGTCTAACTGCATTAAATCTAGATGTACCCTTGGTCTCTTTGCTTAGATACAAGCCTGCATTGAAGGAAGTTTGAAATCTTGATCCCAGATCCAACATTAGATTATTGAAAAACTGAGGAGGCGAGAAAACTTTGCTTAATTATGTAAGAGTTGATCACAACTCACATCAAACATAGAGCATTTTATATTCATGCCATAAACAGAGTGTATGTTGTTCAGGAATCAATCCCAACATTGGTATTTAGCTGCATTGGCAGTGCCAAATGTTGTAAAGAATGTAGAATGGAAATGCAGAGAATTCCAATCAGTGCAGTGCTATAAAAATGCATTAATCTGACAAATACATTTGCAAACCAGTTGTCCTTGTCTGCTGGTGTGACCAGGTCTGGGTCAGATGACTATTGCATTACAAGAGCAGCTGAAAACACAGCACGTGCAAAATGCAGAAAACATCAAATTCCTGCTCACTTTGGCATATGATGCGAATAGCCATGGCCTTTGTGAGATTATGGCCAGAATCCTTTTGGTGCCTTAACAGTCTGCTATGCTGATGTCAGGCACTTTCTGGAGGGATGTGGCGCAGCAATGGGGGGGATGGCAGGGAAAGCTGTCTCTATTGCCAAGGAAAACTGTCCTGCCACTCCCATGAAGTTCAGGAGCCAGCAAAAGAGCAATTTCTTCTGACACATGACTTCTGATGCTATCTCTTCATTCTCACAACCGCTAAAGTCAGTTTTTTTCCTGTTTCCACAGCACACTGTTATCAATGCTTTCAGCAGTGTAGTAGTGCTGGCCAACAGTTTCATGGTCTATGCATTCATATTCATGGCCATCTAGATATTTGACTACTCTTACAGCCAACCGCTTGATGTGATGGTGAAGTTACCAGGTTTTCAGTCTTAAAACGTCTGATGTGTTCTACAGCAGGGCTTCTAAAAACTTCCACTTATGACTCCTTTTTTTCCTGAGAAATTTTTACACGATCCTGGGTATACAGGGATATGAAATAAGTATAAAAACCAAACATGTGTTTGCAAATCTGTGTTTGCAAGGCTTGCTAAGCAAGCTGATTTTTCTTCTTATGGAGTACAGCTGAAGCATCTTCTGTAGAGCCCACTGTTAATTTATCAGACCTTGCTGCAGAGCTCATCAGTGTTCCTGTTTCCCAAATTTGTTTTTGGAAAGCTGACCTATTACCTTTGAACAACTATTTTCAGACATCAAAGAATAAAGCACGGTTTCTGGACTATCTTTTCTGAAGCAAATTGATGTTTACAATGTTATGATGCAGTGTTGATACTGTATAAGCCCACTTCATTGACATAAGTTTGTTCACTTTGTCTCGTCGTCAGAAATTTTAAAGAGACTGGAAATAAAAGAACAAGCAGCAGCCTATAGATTTATGGAAGAAATTGAAGTGATAAGTACATTTGTATAAGAGATATGTACAAGGATCTACAGAAGAATGTATAGAACAATTATACTTTTTGACACACTTTTAAAAAAGATGTTCAGCAATTCGAAAGCTACAGTTAACGCAAGAAGACCTTTCCCTAGGTAATAGGAACCAAAATCCAAATCTGATGTTACTAATCAAATTTAAATAAAAGCCTGGCACCTGACAAATTTTTCACTACCATCAGTTGAAATTCATTTTTAATTTGTGTGGGAAATGTAAAGGCAGGAGAATATATGCAGAAAACCTTCATATTAGCCATAAGACTATTGCTTGCTATCCAGAATCTCCATAAGTTAGGTTTTATGGGAAAGATGGTGCATTTGTAGATGCAGCTGCCAAAGTGTGGCAAGTAATTTTTGCACTATCCAATTTCAGACAGAAAAGTGGTTTAGAATACTATTACTCAGTAGTTGTGTCTTTCACACTAGCTGTTTCCCAAAGTTTCTGGCTTGATAC